TCTGCTCAGTGTATTCATGAATTAATTAATTGCCGACTTTTCAGTAGCGTAAGTTGTTTACGCAAATTGATGTTTTTTGATAATAAAGGTCAGAGAAGGTCATGAGGGGGTTGCGAGGTCAGCTGGCTTAATTTGTGCACGTGCACAAACCGCTATTGCAGTTAACCTTGCTCATAGCGCGTAGTATTTCTCTTTGAAAGAAAGCACTTGCATTTTAAGGTCATAAGTTTCTCCTCTTCTGTAACAATGACCTTATTTTTTTTTTCAACTCTACGTTTTGATTTCTTTTTGAAAAACGCTTCTTTGATAACCGAGTTTAAATTGTGACCTTTCTTTTAAATTTAAAAAAAAGTAGTTTTTAGTACGAGTAGTTTTTACGTTCATATTTGATGAAAATAAAATTTTTTTCTATGAGAATCGTTGGTTAAGTTGCGGATTAGTGGATGTCATCATTTGTGTTGAAAGACCAGTATGTTTAGGCCGCTAGTGGGCCGTCCTGTAAACGATACAAAGCAGATTCTCCTGGCGAGGCTCGGAACGGGTTAGTTGCCGTTCTTTTATTTTGGATTCTTTTTTTTTATAATGTGATGTATTGAGTGTTTGCTTCAAAAAAAAAAGAAAAAAAAATGATCTCTGTTCTTCATTTAGCCTTCCAGTTAGTTCAGGCCATTGATCATCGGTATTGCTTGGTTTACGTCAGCATTTTGCAAAAGACTTAACTGTTTGATTTTCTTGAAGAATTACACCAAATTGTAGTTGCAAAAGTTTTAATTTGCCTTCCATTGTTTCTCAATCAGTTCTGCCTGTTTTCGCCTTTGTATTTATTATTTATTTCCTCTTCTTTTGACATGTGTTACTTTTTTAAATCTGATAGAAAATAAATGTTTCAAAGTAATTATTAGCTTGTGAGAACTCTTTGCGAACTCGCCATCCTTTGACACAGAAAATTCAAAGGTTTTCCGAATAAATTTAACTTTATCAGTCGTTCATACTGTTCTAGTCTTTATTATTTCATCTTTACTTGCATCAAAACGTTTGCCTTTCACCGACATTGTTCCACTCAAAGATTTTTTGGCTAAGCTTAATTACAAATTCGAATTTTGTCTAGATGTTTACGGACGTCACTTTCCTTTTTGGAGGCACCGGAAGATGGCAAATGTTTGCTCGACATATTACCAGATGAAATTTTAATGAAGGTGATTTTCAGTTTCTTTTAAATTTTTTTTTTTTTTTTTTTTTTTTTT